AAAATATTTTGGGCGAGCTTAATTTGTAGAGGAGTTCATTGGAAATACATAGTAAAAAACAGAAGCGAATTCCGTGTCCGAACGAGCGTAAACGAGCCCAAAGTCTAAGGTCGTGCGACATGGACCACGAGTTGCCCAGGTGCCTGCCGTCCCAGCGTCCGCGCTGCGCCAGACCACCGCACCAGTTCCGCGCCGCGCTTGTGCCACGAGGTGGACTGCGACTTCAGACGTTCCAGGCCCCGCGCCGCGATGATCAGCCCTGACACGTCGTGAAGGATTCCCGCGCCGCGATGTTCGTTCCCAGATTTTCTCCTCCCGCGCCGCGGCGCCCTACCTTGCCGCGCCGTGTCCACCCTGCCGCACCGCGCCAGAGGAGTCCTTTGCGCCGTGCCACTCCACTCCACGCCGTGACGAGCCTAGTTATATATATATGATCGGGATCGCGACTAAAGGGGACATCTCTCATTCGACGAACACAGAAAACCCTACCCGTCTTATTTTCTCTCGCTCTTTTCATTTTTCTTCATCGTTTTCAACGTAGAATAAGGATTTAAGCTCGGATTTCATTATTGCTTCCGGATTTCAAGCTTGTTTATCAAATTCAACTTTGAGATTTATCAATCGTAAGCTTTTCTTTTAACTTAATCGTTAATTATGAATTCGTGGGTAGAGATTGCTTGTGTTGATTATTCGATTATGAGTAGCTAAATCTTTATGCTAGGGATAGGGGATTGATGTTTTGAATTCATTTGCAATTATCATATTCGTGATTGTTCTATTTGTACAAGTTGATCTTTTTCTAGGGTTTTTCAATTGTCGGGCTCGAATATTGAGAATTGTTGAAGGGTGACACTTCAATCCCCAATTGTTTGCAATTGAGTTCGATATATTCTTGCTTGATGTTGGTTATTCTAAATGGACTAGTTGATTAAACACCTTCTAGTCTGCTTTAATCGACTTTTAGAACCGAAAGGGGAGGAGTCGGTCGAAATAGGCTCGTATGAACTAGGCTTGTTCGTAACTGTATTGCCTAGAAGTTAAATGAATTGTTAATTTGCCGTTCTAATTTGTTCTCTTGTTACGAAAAGTTATTGAGAATGAGTGCTTGAACGTGTCGATTAGTCAAATCACTTAACCGAACAATCTCTTGCTTGATAATTGCATTTTCGAACCAAAACGGATATCCCCGACTCCCTAGCTTCTTAAATCCTGATTGTTCTTCGTTGTTGCTTGCTATTTCAATTGCTTAATTTAAATTCTCTTGGTAGTTGATAATTAAATCCAAATCAAACCATCTGAATTAGAATGTTTAGGAATTTTGTTTCTCTTTTTGTTTGAATAAACGTATAGAATATTCCGGCTAACCTTCCTCGTGAGTCACGACCCGGTGCTCGAATCTTTCGATTCTATTCCGAGAAAATATTTACAACAAATTGGCGCCGTTGCCGGGGAGGGTTTAGGACGTATATTGTGTGCTTATTCACTTTATTTTTCGTGTTTCTCTTTGATTTTGTGTTTTCCTTATTTTTGATGTTTCCTTTTCTTATTTTATTTTCTTTTCTTTACTATTGGTGCTCGTAACTTGTTTGTTGCCTGAGTGTATGCATACCATGAGTGGACGTAAACTATCTCCAATTAACAAACCCTTCAACGAGAGCCTGAGAGAGCTGCTGGACGAGCTTACTCTCGAATCACACGAAGAAGGCGAGCATTCACCAGAATCATCCGAGGGGAGTAACTCAGACATGGCTGCACAACAACCGCCTCGCAACATCCTCAGAGACTTGGCCCAACCCATGATCGGGCCAATCACTTCATGCATCCTGTTGCCACAAGAAGCCCGGAACTACGAGCTTAAGATGATCCATTACAACCAGCTACCGTCTTTCCATGGTCTTCCAAATGAGGATCCACTCCACTTCCTCTGGGAGTTTTACAATGTTCTCCAGTCGTTCCCTCTTCACAGATTGACCGAGGATCAGCTAAAGATGCGATGCTTCCCGGAGACTTTGAAGGACCGGGCCAAGGCCTGGCTCATGACCCTCACACCGGATTCTCTCACAACTTGGGCCGATGTCTACTCGAAATTTGTCGGGAAGTATTATTCCCATCAGAAGACCCAAGACATCCGGTCCCAGATAGTCTCTTTTGCTCAACTGCCATTCTCGACATCCTTTCCTGTAGCAAGTGATCCATTCCCAGAAGCCCGATCCGCTTCTCTGCCTATGAGTGGCATGAAATGGGGCAATTGTCACTGCTTATGGACCCGAACCTGGGTGATCTATCCATGACCAGGATGAAGCTTGGGTGAAACTAAGCGGAGGTCCGAACCGACTGAGTTCAAGCCCAATTGTTGGGAGAATTGTGAGAATTACTAAGGATCATATTGGTGGATGGGCCAAGGGCTCAAGGTGAGCCAAGTTCGATCAACAAATTATTATTATTATTATTATTATTATTATTTGCTAAAAAATCCGTTGGTAATTTATTGGAAAAAATCCGTTGGCAATCCGTTGGGGAAAAATATGCGTTGGTAATCCGTTGGGAAAATTCCGTTGGTAATCCGTCGGGAAAAAATATCAGTTGGCAATCCGTTGGGAAAATTTCGTTGGTAATCCATTGGAAAAATATCTGTTGGTAATCCGTTGGGAATATTACGTTGGTAATCCGTTGAGAAAAATCTGTTGGTAATCTGTTATAAAATTCGTAACTGATATGTTGGCTTTCTGTTAGTAATTTGCCAACGGAATGATTTAGCAACTACATTTTCCGTGAGAATCCATTAAGAATCTCATGAAGCATTTCCGTTGCAAATTTGTTGGTAATCCTTTGGGAATTATCCCAACGGATTGTATTTTCTGTTGGCAAAAATTAGTAACAAGTCATATAGCAACAAGAAAATTTGTAGGTAAGCCGTTGGCATTCTGTTGGGAAATTTGATTACCAACGGATTATTTCGTTGGTAAAACTCATAATTCTTGTATTGTTATCTCTACATTTTACTCTACATCAAGTTTAATATTTTTTATTCATTTTTATTTCAAATAAATTGGTATATATATGTATATTTAATCTTATATAAAAATTTATTACCAAAATAATAAAAATGTATTATGTTGTTTTTATTTGTGTATTTATGATTTTTGTAAATTTTAATTCTAATGAAATCTACTTATTTGAATGTGCTAAATTTTTATTTATATGGTACCATTTTAATATTAAAAATTTATAAAATTATAATACATCAATAAATAAAGAGCACAAAATTATTTAACATAAAAATACATTGCACAAAGTTATATAGTATAAAAATACATTTGTTAATTCACATTTTACAAAAAATTATCATTAATATTACATTAACAATACAAAAAAAAAAGAAAAAAAAAAAATATCTAGCGCATATGAACAGTGCTGCGCTAGAACTGGCGCAACACTATTCATATATCTGATATAGCACTGAAAACTAGCGCAACATTGGAGACAAAAAGCCACGCTACTCTAGCGTTTTGCTCTATTCTGGAGCAGCGTTGGAGAGACTCTTACATTTGAACATCAAACTTTCTATAAACTCGATTTTTGAAGCCAAACACGTCATATTATCGTATCCATGGTGAGATAATAGGAAGTTAGACACATTATGTTTTCAGTATCATTCAATTATGGTCAAATATGTTAATTTTAGAAATTTGTGGCTATTTTTAAAACATCATCAATGTCAGGGGACTATATTTTTTATATAAAAAGATACGAATCTTTAATTTGTTGTACCTAATCACAAATTTAGAGCAGACAACCTTCCTATTTAGCGTAAAATTGGCAACAAAATATTTACACAAAAGCACATTACCACAAGTGGTAGTATATTTTATGGCACCATATTTACCCAATTATTGAGACATAAACCTCCTAATTCGGGATGCCTTTTCCCGCCCACTGACTGAAAGCCCTTTTAAATTGAGCCTTGAAGATTATTGTCTTCTTTTGAATCAAGAATTTTAAAGTGGCAGCTAAAGCACAAAACCCTATATCTAATATGCAGTATAATCGCCCTTTTGTAGACATCTGTCTATGGATCTCAAAGTTAAGGCTACAAAAGATAAGAACATGCCTAGCTTTAGGTGCCTTTTGCCTAGTAGCATTTTGTTAAGTTAATTATCAAGTTCATTATTATGGTCCGGTTCCTATTCGGTCCATGGGATATGCAATAAACATTTAATGGACCGCTAGAGTTGTTAGGTGAAGTTATTAATAGTAAGCTCGTTAAAATTCAAGTTCAGTTCTTTTTGTTCGATTAAAGAGTTCGAGTTTGACTCGTATGAGACTTGTTAGGTTCGAGACTCGTGATTTTTACATAATTTTTTAGAACTTTTATCTCTACTTGTCTCGCTAATATTGATAAATGTGTCAAGTTTGAGTTCGTTTATCGACTCATAGTAAAACTTGACTATGTACAACTCCATGGACAATGAAACCAAGTTCACATTTTTAAGATGTATGTTGTGTGAAAAATTTTAAGTCATACAAAACTTGAGGTGCATCAAAAGTAATCTCATTATAACTTAATTAATTTTTAGTTGTCTAGTAATTTTTAAAGTTATTTCGAAACAATATTGACAAATAAGTTAATAAATTCGGATAAACAATTGACATGTCATGAGCGCGCACTTCACCAAAGTTCCTACAGAAGTTCGAATTCCCAATCAAAAGTGTCCTTAAATTGGTCAATTTTAATTTTTTTTTTTTTTTATTTTTCCAACGATAAACCACCAATTATTATAACCACGAAAAAAGATGTTCGAGTAATCAAATGACTACAAACAAGATTCTTACCACAGGAGTAAGAACCAAGCAAATGGAAGACCAAGGGAACTCCCCCTCAAAGGCTAACAAAGCCAAACACAAGCTAAACCCCTAACCAACAATACTAACAAGATTACAACTGAAAGAACTGAAACTAAAACAACACCTAACTCTAGCAAAGCACAAATATCCTCCATATGGGTTCTAGTGTTGGAAGACACAGCCAGATGATAATGCGCAACTTCCAGAAAATCAGAATTATTTGTGAAGCAAGAAATAGCAATCCATCCCAAATCCTAAGCTTTCCTGAGAGCCCATCTGAGTGCCGCAATTGTAGCTTCCTCTTAGGTGCAGTCTCCAACAGTTGTATAGACCCAGATGTGATTCTGACCATTCTCATCAACAACCAAGCAGTTCAAAGATGCATCTCCTTGGACAGATAGTAAAGCACTGACAGTAAAGGAGCACTATCCTACCCTCTTGGAAAATTTATCTATCAATGGAGCTGCATCAATGTTCTTTTTTAAAGTTGCAATGCTTTTTCCCTCCTTGACCCTTAGCCACTCCAACCATTCATTCCTAGCTCCTTCAACCAGCTCTATTTCATGAATCCAATCTCCCTTGAAAAGCCATTTATTTCTGGCTTTCCAGATCCACCACAAGACATAGATAGAGAGATAGATCCGATCCTCCATAGAGTTAGTTTTTCCAGAAGAACAAACCTAAAGCCGCCAGCTTTGAAATGTCATGTTATCCTCTTCTTGGTGAGCCCAATAAACTCCACTTAGCTTCCAGCAGGTTTTAGTTCTGGTGCAATACTTGGCACATAGCATCTGTTTGAATCCCTTTTTTGAGCAATATTAGGATTCTGACTTGTACTTGTTTGGAAACTTGAAACTCTAGAGGCTGCCATGATGGTCTTGTATGCTTCATTTGTTGAAAAGATTCCCTTCCTGCTACCATGCCAGATTAGTTTATCACTCCTTTCAGAGTTAACAAGAGGAATCTTTAAGATTTTCTCTACTCTCTCAGGATCATAAGTTTGACAAATGAGATACTGATCTCAATCCCTGCCACCTGGTCCATATAGCACACTCATTCTATCTATTCTATCTAGGGGTGGGACCAGTCCAGTTCTTGTGTAATTCTAAGAATTGAAACCATTTTTCTCATAATACTCTCGGTTCGGTTGTTGTACAAAAATTTTCAGAAACCGTTTTGGAACTGAACCATGGACAACGGTTCGGTCAACCGATTTTTCAAAATAATTGACTGTATCTTATCTGAAAAATTCAAAAGTACTTGATTAAAGACCGGCGTACATCAATCTCCCAATATCATAGGAATTACACACATTTCAAATTGATTCTCAAAATGACATAGCCACCACTTTGTTCCTGCTCTCTGTTGCCTTATTTTATGAATTTGCAGATCTGCTACAACTCTCGGTTTTTGAAGCCACGAAGAAGGGGGCCAAGTCAAATTGATGGTAATCTCCATCGAATGGTGAAGACGGTCAGCGGGTTGCAGCTGTTACAGCCCATAAGCATCGAGAAATATTTTTTTTTCGATCTTATGGTGACGACGACGGTGAGTGAGGACTAAGATTAGAAAACTACAGAAATTGGAAAGAAGTTTGCAGGCGACGAGGAAGAAGAATTAGGGCATATGGGTCAGGTGTGAGAAATTGGGTTTGAAGGGCAATAAAATGGAGTGAAAAATTGTTTAGTGCAGTTGATAGATGTTAAGGTGTAGGTTAAAAATGAAAATATTTCGTGGGCCACACAAAGGATAGATTTGGGCCTATGTTGTCATAATGGGCCAATGTTATTGGTTGAGCTGGGCCATGTCAACAGTTATTTAGTTCTTGACACGGCCAGAAAACAACAACCGAAAACCGAAACTGAATATGATAGGCACATAACCGAACTGAACAAATCATAACATAATAACTATTACCCGAACCGAACCCGCTTATTTCGGTTCAGTCCAGTCCGATTTCACGGTTCTCAGTTTTAAAATCCCACCCCTAATTCTATCCCTATCACCATTGAAATGACAAGCAGACTTAAACTTAGGGAGATTTAGAATCCATGGAGAGTCTCAAACCTTGATATTTTTTACCATTGCCCACCTGAAATCTAGCCCCTAACCTAAGAGACTTTCTAGCATCAAGCCAACTCCTTCACAGCCATGAATCAATATCCTTAGGCTCTACATCCATCATGTTTTGATTTTTAAAATATCTGCCTCTCAACACCCTGCTAGCAAGAAGATTAGGCTTTAAGTTGTAATTATCCTCCATAGTTGTTTAACAAACAAAACTTCATTGAAGTCTATCAAATCTCTAAAACTTAATCCCCAACTTCATTATCACTAGTCAACTTACTCCAAGAAGCCCAATGATTTTTTTCACCCCATTGCGCATTTTTACTCCACCAAAGTTGGCTAAATCCCTACAAATATTCTACACTATAGACAGAGGGACTCTAAAGCATGACATAACATAAGTGGGCATGACATTCAAAACAGACTTGATCAAAACCTCTCTCCCACCCTCACTCAGAAATCTGTTTTTCTAGCTCTTTATTTTGTTTTGGACACATTCACTCACAAACAAGAAGGTTTCTCTTTTAGATTTGTCAATACCCTGAGGAAGCCCTAGGTATTTGGCAGACCTCAGTTTTGAGATTCCAGACAAGATTTGGCAAATATCATTCATATTACCCTCTGTTGTGTTCTTAGAGAAAAGAATATAAGATATTTATAAAATTGTCCAACTAGCCAGAATCATTCCCATACTGAGACAGAATATTCATAATCAAATTAGCATGCAAGACATCAGCTTTACAAAAGAGAATGGAATCATCTGCAAAGAGAAGATTAGACACAACTAGTGCTTGCTCTCCTATTTCAATGCCCTGGAAAAGACCAGCTAGACTAGCTTGTTTGACTAGATTAAACAAAGCCTCCAAAATAAGAATGAACAGATAAGGGGACAAAGGGACCCTATCTGAGCCCTCTAGTAAGCTGTAAGTAGCCAAAAATAATACCATTAATATGAAAAGAATAGGAGGTGAGCAAACACAAGCCAAAATCCAAAAAATGAACACATCATTGAATCCCATTTTTCTACAAACCTTAGCTAGAAAAGGCCACTCTACTCTGTCATAGGCCTTGGCCATGTCAAGTTTTAATGCCATGCAGCTCTCTTTTGCTTTCCTCTTACTGTTTAGGTAATGTATGCATTCATTAGCTATTATGACATTATCAAGGATTTGCCTACCAGGCACAAATGCAGATTGAGCAGCAAAGATGCAAGTATGAAGAACATGTTTCAGTGTATTGGCAATGATTTTTGCAATGAGTTTATAGATAACAGAACAAAGACTGATTGGTCTAAAATCAGAACTTTAGATGGATGAGAGTGATAACTGTGTGATTAAGGCCTTTTGGCATTCTGCCATTATTGAAAAAGTTTTGCACAACTGAGCAAACACGGAATTTGATAGTGGGCCAAGAATTCTGAAAAAACAAAGCAGTTAAGCCATCAGCACCAGGTGTTTTGTCATGCTCCATCTCAAAATGGGTTGCTTTGATTTCCTCCTCCTCTACCTCTCTAATTAACTCAACATTCATTTCACTATAAATGGTCTCAGGAATTCCTTCTATGTTGCAAACTTGGTCTAAAGGGTTGGAGGATTTAAAGATCATATTTCAAAGTACTCAAGAAGTTTAGCTAAAGTTCAATGAGTGCCATGACATCTAGTTCCATCAGCTTTCACTAAATTGTATAGACATTTGATTTTCTTCCTCTGATTAATACTCGCATGAAAAAACTTTGAGTTTCTATCCCCATCTTTAAGACAAGTTATTCAAGATTTTTGTTTCCAAAACTTTTCTCACTTTCATAGACTAAATGGAGTTCCTCCTTACATTTAAACCACTCACCCAGGTCCCGAAAGCCACCCTGAGATCCAAGGTTATTCAATTTATCAGTACATACAACTATTACCTTAGAAGCATTGGGGATTTTATCCTTTTTCCAACAAGCTAAGCTTTTCCAACATTTCTGACCCTATCCTGAATGCTAAACAAGTGAGGTCTAGAAACAAGCTTATTCCAGGCCCCCTCAATCAACTCCTTGTACCCTTCAGCCTCATCCCATCTTTGATAAAAAGACAAATCCTTTTTTCAAGTGATCACAGTTAGGCACACACTCTAACATGGTCAGATGAAACCATAAGGATGTGTTTTAAATAAGAATCAAGAAACTTTAGAAACCAAGAAGGAGAGAAAAATAATCTATCCAGTTTCTTCCCTATAAAATGAACTCTTTTCTTATTGTTGGCCCTAGTGCAATGATGACTCACTATTCTAGTTGCCACAACCCTTACGGTCCAAACAAAGTATCTGAACTGAGTGAAACTGGATTCATCTCTTCTAACACCTCATACTTTTTCAAAATGAAACAAATATCACAAGTCCTCACATAAGAACCAACAGTTACCCAAAGATAAGCTGTGTCTAACAAGAACCTCCCATTGCAAACCTCCAACATCAGAATCAGTGCTGCATAAACAAAAACAACCCAAAGACATTCATCAATCATCACTACCAGACCAGTTAAATTTGACTTCAATACAAAAATCTAAATGTCTAATTTCAAGATCTTAGCACACCAGCAGAGAACAGCCCACCCTAGTTCCTACAGGCTTAACATAAAACCACTTATCCCTTAGTTTAAGTCTTTTACAAAGAGTCAATAAATTTAATTTTTGTTTCTTAGTTTCTGATAAAAACACAATATCTAGAAGATGGATCCTTAAGGTTTCCTTAAGCTAGGAAATTGTAGAGGGTCCTCCCAAACCTCTACAATTCCACGCACAATATTTCATTGGAAATCTTGGGACTAGTTATGACTGGTTTCCTCCACCACAGAGTTATAGAGTCCCTCAGTTAATTTGATCTTCTTCCATTAATTTCTAGACCCTTATAATTCTACTCCTTTTTCTTGAACGTCCTCATTTCTTCTTTTGCCCTCACTCATAATCCCAACACCTAATTCCTTCGACACCACATTTTCTATTATCATTCTATCCTTGGCACTTTCATTTTCAATCTTATGTTTTCGAGTGAAAGTAATTTTCTTTATTTGAGCAATTCTTCTCCCTATGGAAGTAGATAGAATATCCACTTCTACTAGACTATTTTCATTCTGAATTAGGGGAGCACTAGAGGTATTAGTACACTGTTTGATATGATTCGTCTGTTTTTTATTTCATCACCCACAAAAGGTTATTGAGAACTGGACTCTCTAACCTGTTTTCCGCCTTTGTCAACAATGGGATCCTGTGTTGGAATTAGGTGTTCACATGTAACACTCTTTTCTCCCACCACACTTTTTTCTAGGGCTTGGTCTGGGGACAAAGCATTTTCCTCAGCACTAGCTTGGTTCCCAAAGTTCTGACTCATACGGCTTCTTAAATCACTGGAAGAAGTACTATTAGTCCTCAACCACTCTCCAAACTTACCCACATTAAGAGTATTCCAGTTATATCTTTATTCTTAGCATAACAGTTCTTATCAAAATGCCCTATCCTACCACAATAGAGGCAAAAAAGTTTGCATATTATCATTCCTGAAGTCAATCCTTCTATTGTCAGAATCCATCCTGATAAAGGTGCCTCTGAGGATAGGCTCATTCACTTTGAGCTCCGCCAGAACTTTGATCATATGGCCATTCACACTCCCTGCTCCTAGAAATTGTACATCCAAAATCTTTCCTAGCTTTCTCCCAATCTTCAACATTGTTTCAACAGAAATCCAATCCAGTGGTAAATTCAATATTTGCACCTAATTTTTGATTTATTTCTCATCATCACTAAAGTCAATTCTCTAAGGATTTCAGTTTTTTTTTAACATAATATATTGGCCATCAAAAGACCAAGTTTTACCCTGCAAAATCTCATCCATATCTTCTTCAGACGGAAAGAGAAACTGAAAACAATTACTCCCCAGATTCCTAATGGAAAAAGTTTGCTTGGTAACCCTATTCCTCTTAGGCTGGGCTTCAAGCCACTAAAATTAATTTTCTTATCTCCTAAGACTCTGCCTATCAAACTAAATTGACATTCCTTACTGCTTGGGGCAATATCTTCAACTGAAAGTTCTACACCATGCTCTTCTCTATCAGTCAGTCTAAACCTAAGAAGCTTTTCTGATAATTCCTGAGCCATCACCTAAAAGAAACGCAAGCCGACTACTCTAGCAACCCCAAGAGAAAAAATATCAGACACTAAAACATCAAGTAGAAGCATCAATCAAACAAAGATGCAAAGCAAAAAAGCAAATAAAACATAACAGCAAACAAAACAAACAACCAATATAAGATAAGGAGCTGAGAGCAACAAAACAACAAAAACACTAAAAAAATGTAAGCACGGGGCACCAACACACAATCTGAACACTACCCCGCGGAAAGAACACAAGAAGAGGGAAAATTAGAGAAATCCAAGATCTGGAACTAAAATCTCACGAGGAGAAAAGCCCGAAGAAAAAGGGACTCACTGATAAAACCTACACTTGTTTTCCTTGGTAAATCT